TGAATCTAGAAAGCCTATCTAGAGGTCTTTGTTTTAGGAAGGTCAGCTGTTCCTCATCTAGTGGTAATCAGTTGTCAATATTCCTTTGATTGAGATTGGGGTCTGCTGTTCAATTTCCCAGTTCCATCCTGGGTTACTATCTGGGAATCCCTTTGGCCACCCTGGCCAACAATTCAAAAGAAGGCATCTCCTATCTGGCACTGTTGCTTGTTATGTAGCCTTTAGCCATACATATGAACTCTTAAAAAATTATATTGGCCCATTTAATCTTTGGTTATACTTTCCTTTTGGGTGTTTAAAGCCATACAGAAGGCCATACAGTTGGTCCAGATAAACCAATTTATTTTTACTCTTAAGGCTGTTTGAGGATCTGTTCCTCAGGGGTCACATGGGCTTGGGAGGAGCCACTGGCTCCTTTCTTTTACCAGTTCCGCATATATGAAGATAAGTCAAAGGTCGTACTCAACCATGGTTGGCTTCACTTGGAAGCATGGAGGACACGATTCCTCTTTGTTGACCCTCCTCTTTATACACTGGACAGTTTCAAGTCCACCTGGTGGGGTCTCCTAGGCCTCCTTGATCAAGAGGACAGGTGACCCACCACAATTACAGGACATTTTGAGAGATGCTCATAGTCCCCTGGAACTAGTTGGTTAGTTCCACCAGTCTGGTATTTTTAGTTACTGTGTGTCTTGTAGATAAATCTTGGGCAAGGACCAGTTGTTCTCGGATAAACCTTTCCTAGACATAATATTTCTTGATCTGCTATGTGTAATTTGTCAGTAGGCTGTAGGAGTAATATGGTTCTCTGGTTTTGAAAACTAGCTAGGCACTGTTTATCTCACACTGTCTCACCCCTCCATCATGGTTTTCCCACTTAAGGTGCCCCCATTTCCCCCCTTTCTCCCTTACTAATACCCTTCTCCTATGGTCCTACCTCTCTTGAGCTCCTTCTTTCCCTTTATCCCCTAGGTTCCTCGTATACCCTTCCCTCCCTTAAACTAACCCAATTTTTATCCATATCTCCCTTATTAAGGCCTGTTTCCTACTGTTCTTCTCTTTCAGGTTCTTTCTTTCCCTTTACCTCCCTGTTTCCTTTCCATTAGCCTGGTTCCTGGGCTGGGTCTAGGATCCACATATGAGAGAGAACATATGTCGATTTCTTTTCTGAGTCTGTGTTACTTCACGTAGTATAAGTTTCTAGTTCCATCCATTTACCTGCAAATTTCATGATTTCATCTTTCTTTACTGCTGAGTAAAACTCCATCGTATAAATGAACCACATTTTCATTATCCACTCACCAACTGAGGGACACTTAGGTTGCTTCCATCTCTTAGCTATTGTGAAAAGAGCAGCAACAAACATGGATGTACAAGTGTCTCTGCAA